CCCCCCCCCACCGACCACCGACCGACCGACCTCGCCGAGCACTAGGAGCAACTCGCATTCAAATGAAATTTCTACTCCAATCAAAAGAACAGAAATTCACGACGTCCACCTCTACACAGCCTCATTTCCTCTGGCCGGCCTTGGGTTACCGGGCTGCTCGGTTTAGTATCTATCCGTACCTAAATACCGCCATTTTTAGCACGTACCGGTACTAAAACACCGTTTCCCTCTTAGCAACGATACGTACTAAATATTCTCGCGGATGTGTTGACCTCTACACAGGCTCATCTCCTCTGGTAAGCCTTGTGTTACAGGGCTGCTCTGTTTAGTATCTATATGTACTTAAAACCGACACTTTTAATGCGACTCGATACTAAACACGGTTTCCCTCTTAAAACGATTCCGTACTAAATATTCCCGAGGAAGTGCTGTTCTGTAGCGAGGAAATGCATTCATATGGTAGCAAGCAGTTGGGGCGGTTTCAGCGCATCACTTACGAAATAATGGTACGCTGCTTACAATGTTGAGAGGATGAGCGGTTGTGCGGTAACGCTGTATTGTTGACGGATTGGAACGCGCTGAAGCTGGTGGTAACACCGTTTTGAAATATTTTGTTGGTGTGAGGCAGCAGAGAGATTCATCCTGGCTTAGGTAGGTGTCCACATTCCTCGACCTGACTGTTATTATGGCAGATGATAGGTGTAGAACAGGTCAGGGTATACATTGCTACCTCATGTTAAGAAAGAACATTGTACATCAATCGTCGTTTTTAAGGCAGAACATATCGTAATTGATCGTGAAACAGGTCATCTAAGCTCTTACCTTGGAACTTAAATAACTGTGATAGCGAACATCCGAGCGCAAACATGCAGCAACCACGACCCCGGCGCCATTTCTACGTGTAATTGCAACATTACTGCCTGATCACAACATTACTGTGCATCAAGAACCTTTAAAAGATATGAGGCCAAGATAACAAGAATTCAGTAAAATGTGTTTTTTGCGTATCCAAGCAGTCTTCCATATTGTTTGTAGATTGGTCAACATGGTGGGGAAATATGACATGTTTGCGGGGGAATGAAAAGCAAAATGAGAATATGGTTGGCTTAACAAAACTTCTTAATATGATACATATGTATGGCATGAAACATGGATGCCAATGAAACACTGGGTTGAAGGGGATAGGGGGTCAGGGTGTTATTTCCTACCTAATGTTAGAAAAAATCATTGTACACCATTTGTTGTGTTTAAGGCAGGACATGTCATAAATAATCACAAAACAAGTAGATTCATGCTCTTACCTTCAAATCTTTGTAATTATGATGGTGAGCTCCCCAGGGCAGCACACACACAGCAGCCGCGACACCGGAACCATTACTGCGTGCGGTCACAACATTACTGCGCATCAAGCAGCATCAAGAACCATAAAATGTATGGGGCCAAGGTAACAAGAATCCATGAAATTTGATCCTCGACGCAATGGGACGATGGGTTGCAGGGGGATTGGGTGGGGAATGTAAAGCAAAATGAGAACATGGTGGCTAGTTTGCATGTACAAGATTGACATTTTTATAAGTCTATGGATTTACAAATTTTCAAGTGACAGGGTTAATTATGAGATAAGCAGTCCTGGCAAATTTGAAACACTGCATTTGTGTGCTGTTCACTGCTGGTTTGGTGTTTTTCAACATTGACAGTCATGTCCACTTGAATAACCTAGGACATTGCCCTCATTGGCAGGGTGACTCAAACAGTGAATAGCTGTTATGTTCAGATGGTCAGAGTGACAAATCCTACCCACGGCTCCAAGTTTGATGAGATAAATTGCCCCTGTCAATTATGTTGGTCTGCCTGTTTATTACAGCAGCCAGCAGAGCAGCATGGATGGTGATAGCACAGATTGGGCGGCATCCCACCCTCTGCTGCCAGATGCCAGAGACACTGTTCCACCTCCACCATCTCCACCAGAGCTGGCCACTGCACCAGGCCCAGATCATACACAGCTGGTGGTGAACAGTCTCAGTCCGCGTGACAAACCCTGGCCTTGCGGTCTGACAGCGGACTTTATTGAGCAGTGTGCACAGACGCTGGACCGCCCTGGAGGATGTTAGCTGTCTGGCGATAGCTGATGACCAGCTGCCTTTGGTGTATCCTGGCTGTGTACCTCTGAAGAACCTGGCAGGCTATATGTCAATTCAGAGGGAGACTGGCCAAGTGTCTCTGGAGAGTCTGGCCAGCTATGTGTCATTGGAGAGTCAGGGTACCCAGGTGTCCACAGGGAATATGGCCAACCATGTGTTCATGGACAGCCACAGTGGTAACTTATCCCAGGACAGCTGTATTGGACAAGTATGCCTGGAGAGCCTGGCTGGTCATGTGCCTGTGGACAGTCAGAGTGGTCAAGTGGCTCTGGATGGTCAGAATGGTAAGATATCCCAGAGGAGTCAGGTTGATGAAATGTCCCAGGAGAGCCAGGATGGCTCTGATTTGGCCATGGAGAGCCTGGCCAGCTATGTGCCTCTAGAGAGTCAGAATGGTCAAGTGCCTCCAGACAATCACAACAGCTACATGTTTGAAGAGAGCAATGTTGGCAGTGTGGCTGTGGGGTGCTCAGCCAGCTATGCCTACCTGGAGGGTCAGAATGGCCACATGTCCTTTGGGGGTCAGAATGGCCATGTGTCTTATGAGAATCAGGATGGTCAAGTGTCGCTTGAAAGTGAGGTTGGCGAGGTGTTTCTGGAGAGTCAGGACGGTCACGTGCTTCTGCAGAGCCTGGCAGGTCAGGTGCCTCTTGAGATCCTGGACGGCCCAATGGCTCTGCGTAGCTTAGAGATGGAGGGCGGCACGTTCCTGCCATCGGCGGTGGACGAGGCACAGCCGGAGTCAGCCCGCCTGGCCACGTCTGACGGCGTCGCCGTCGCTGCCGTCGCGGAATCGTCGGCCCGCTGGCCACCGGGCCCGGACGGCAGCCCGGGCTCCGTCGGCGGCGCCTGGCCGCAGCTCCCGCTCGAGCCCGGTCCGTCACCGCCGTCTGAGGGGCAGCTCGCCGCGGACCTCCGCTGGCCGAGCGGTGACGTGCCTCTCGAAGGCCAGTTGACCGCTGATCGCGTCCCCGCCCGGCGTCCGCCACGCGGCGCGCGGCACGCCTGGCAGCACGCGCAGGACGCCGTGCTTGACTCCTGGCCAGACCTCCAGGGCGCCGGGCTGGACTCCTGGCGTCACATGGCGGACGCGGAACTGCATCCGTTCCGAGGCGTGCAGGACGCGGAGCTGGCCTCGTGGCGCGACGTGGTGGACGCCGAAATGCAGCCGTGTCGAGACGCACAGGACCCCGACCTGGACTGCTGGCGGGGCGTGGTGGACTCGGCGCCGCCGCCGCCCACGGCCGCCACGCGGCTGGCCGAGGTCGAGTGCGAGCTGACGGTGAGCGAGGACGCGGCAGAGGAGACGACGGCGGCGCCGACGCCGGCCGGGCCGGCCATCGCCGACCTAGCGCCCTACCTCGAGCACAACTACGACTACCCGCTGGAGCCGCTGGTGGCCGGCGAGGTGCGTCCCAGCGCCGACCACGTATACGCGTCGCGGCCAGCCTCGCCTGGCGGCGGCTGCTCGGTCACCGATCACCGGTACGCCTACAGTCCGCCGGCGGCGCTCACCGAGGAGGACCTCATCCGCAGCATCTCCGACCAGCTGGGCCTGCACAGGACCACGGCTACTCGCAGCGGCAGAGCGCGGCGCCGGTTCTGCCGCTGCTGCCGCCGCCGCCACCGCCTCCGCCCGACTGCGGCCGCGTCGAGCTGGCAGAGCCGTGTCTGGTGACGGAGACGTGCCTGGACTGGGAGCCGGCGCTGGACGGGCCGGCCGGGCACTGGGTCGACCCGAACATGGTCATGGGCCCTCAGCGGGCGGGACGAGCCGGAGCCGCACCGCAGGGGACGGCCGGACCGAGTCGGCGGCGCCCCGACGGGCCGCGCGCAGCAGGAACGCGTGCTGCCCGCCGTGGACGCCGAGCTCGGCCGGCTGCTCTGGGCGGTCCGCGCCGCCTCCGCCGCCGCCGCTGCTGCCGTTCGTGGCGGAGGACGCGCCGCCAGCGACCTCTCGTGCCGTGCCAGTCGCCGAGCCGCAGCCGTCACACGGCGAGCGAAACCCCGTCGGAGACTAACATCGTGATCCGGCAGGCGGGCGGCCACCGGAACCTCGCCGGCCCCGGCCGCGCCCGACACCGAACAAGTGGTCCCGCGACTGGCTGCAGCGGCTGGCCGCCGCGCGGCAGTCGGTGACACGTGACCAGTTGCGCCCGCGGCTTGGCGCACCGGGTCAGCGCCGCCCAGCTGCGTGCCCTGACCGCTGGAGGCAGCTTCCCTGGCCCGCTGGGTCGGCCGGTGCGTGGCCGAGAGCCGCCGGCCGCCGACCGACCAGAAGCGCGTCAGCTACCCGCCCTACTTTAAGCTGCTGGTGCTGCGTTTTGCACAGTTCATGCCGCTGGATGCGGTCGCCACCGCGTTTTGTATTTCTTTTCCACTGCTGTATAAATGGAAGGTGAAAAGGAACGAGCTGCTGAAATGGCGAAAAGGCAGTGTCAGTGTGCGTGCCCAAGGGAGGCGGCAAGAAGAAGCAGGAGTCGGACGTGGATCGCGAGTTCTCTAGGGAGCTGGAGCGGCGTATTCAAGATGCCGCCATCCGGCCCTGCTATGAGGAGGTGCGCCAGATGGCCAGGGAGCTGTACACGGAGCATGGCTTGAAGCTGCCGCGCTCCAGGCGCTGGATGAAAGCTAGCTATAACATCAAGAGCCGCCGCTGCGACGAGAACGCCATCCGTTGGCTGCTCGCCGAGTTTGAGTGTGGCCGCGCCACTACCAGGGCGGCGTTGGATGAGTACGCTGTCGGGCCGGGTGGTCGTTTCTGGTCTCAGAGGCTGTTGTCTCGTTACCCGGAGCTGCGGAAACCGCACTGCACGTGGCAGATGCAGCCGCCGGATCCAATGCTGCGGAGGTGGAAGAGTGGGCGGCCACGCTTGACCTGCAGCCGGAGCACACTGTCTGCTTTATGGTTGATGTACCTGTCATGAGAGACCCAGGTAAGTATATTTGGTCACGTTAGGAAGCACATTTTATCGTGATTTCTGTGCAGTGCATGGACTTAGGTAGTGCAATAGTGCAAAACGTAAGAATTAAGTAGTCGAATAAAATATGCAAATAGCATATCTGGAACAAGTGATTCGCGCTTGATGCACGTCTCATTGGCTTTCGCTGACTGCTGTCATTGCAGTGGCACGATGTCAGTAGCCGTCAAGTTCTGGTCTTCGGTCTCCGCAGAAATGATCCTAAAGTATGTGTCCTAATGAGCTGCCGCCAGCTGTTTAGTCAGCGTCTAGATATTGCGGCGCCGTGTGTTCCCTAGCAGTGAAGGCCACTTGACTCGGTTTCTGTCCGGATGTCCGGTTGCACCGTTGCCTGCCCCTACCTGTGAAGCGCGGCTATGACGGCGCACTGTGCAGCCAATCCCCACCGACTGACGAGTCGTCGGCGCCCGCGCAGCTCCCTGCGCGGTCTGGGCGCGAGGAGGGCCGGATCGCCGAGCCACGCTGCTCATCAGCTGCGCCCTGAGCGGCGCCGTGCAGCCGGCCATGCTGATCCTACCGGTAGGTGGCCATGCAACAGCAGACCTTGGCGTCTGAATGAAGTCGCTCTTCGTCACTGTATGTGACCAATGCCACCCCAAGTGGCTGGTATCTGCCTCCGTTGGTAATGCCAGGGTTTCGGTATATTTACAGCAGTGAGCGCTGTCGCATTTGTGTTGTGTTGTTGACTTTTAGAAACGAAGTGGGAGGCAAATTTCATGTCCCAATCAGACTTTGGCCCTGACCCCAAGGTCCTAGAAACCCGAGACTCGATCTAAGTTTTCCCGATCATTTAGGTTCTAACCAAGTTGGAGGCGAAAAACAGTATTTTAGCAGCAAAACGTATACTATGGAAGATAGCCTGATGTAACATATGTAATTGGTATATGTTGCCGTACCTACTGGCTTGCATTTGGCTGAGTGGGCCAGATTCGTTGCGGTTGGGTTTGGTGTGGTGCGAGTACTTTGAAATAGCTTTGGGTCTGGAGCTGGTTTCGTTAGATTTAACAATGGTCATCAACTTGTGCGCAGGTTAGCAGTCAATTCCTTAGCTCTTTCCGATGCCGACTCGGATCAGCGTTATGTTAGCGTGCGATCAAGTCACGGTACGTCGGTTTAGGCTGGGAGCAAGCTTGCCCGATTACGATGTGCACCCTTCACGGCGATTCCTCAAGAAAACTGCTCGACTCGAACGAGCTGGCGAATTGGGACTGAGGCACGGGCTTGGCCACAGTCTCCAGCGACTTGGTTCCAGATTGTGAGCCTGATCGGTGGAAAAAGCAATGCGATTCTGACTTCGTAGCATGGACAACACTGGACCCGGTCCTCGGACTCTAGATAGAAAGGCTAGTACTCGGACTTCGGTTTTCTGGACTCAGAACCATGCCCCATATTACCTGTAGCATGCCAGGTTTATTGAATTAGGCCAGAAAACGCCCCGTACTCCCGATTTTCGACCGTGCATGTGCTGTATAAAAACGGTCAAAATGATTAGCACGAGACCATATCTACTTCTGGTTTACGGAATGTTCTTGTGCGGGCCGGGCACGGAAAGGTCCATGCAACATGTCCTTCAGCGAGTATACTACGTTTCGGGTGTTGACCAGCGGGTGCATCATGTCTTAGGGCGTTAATCAGCAGTGTACCATGCCCCATAGTGCCAGTCAGCTGGTGTACCCTTTTGGGGATGTCAGCCGGCTGGTGTCCCCTGCTCCAGGGTGTCAGCCGGCGGGTGTCTCCTGTCCCAGGGTGTCGGCCGGCGAGTGTCCCTTGTTCCAGGGTGTCAGCCGGCGGGGTGTACCCTGTTCCAGGGTGTCAGACGGCTGGTGTCTCCCGTTCCAGGGTGTCAGCCGGCGAGTGTCCTCTGTTCCAGAGTGTCAGCTGGCGGATGTCTCCTGTTCCAGGGTGTCAGCCGGCGAGTGTCCACTGTTCCAGGGTGTCAGCTGGCGGATGTCTCCTGTTCGCGAGCGTCAACTGGCGGGTGTCTCCTGTTCCAGGGTGTCAGCCGGCTGGTCTCCCCTGTTCCCGAGCGTCAGCTGGCGGATGTCTCCTGTTCCAGGGCGTCAGCAGGCGGGTGTACTCGGACAGCAGCGGCCTGCTGACGGCGCAGCAGCCGGACGGCCGGCTGGACGCGGCACGCGCCGGCCTCTGGCTGCAGCTGGTGGGCAGCCGCGGCCCGGCCGGTCCGCTGCTGGTGAACGCCGCCTGCGCGCCGCGGTCCGAGCCGCTGTGCCGACAGGCGGCGGCGGTCGGCCGGCGCCTGCTGCTGGTGCCGCCCGGCCTGGCCGTGCTGGCCAACCCGCTGATGGCCGGCCGGCATCGGCTTATGGTAAGTGCGCGGGCTGCCGGCGCCGACGCCGAGGTGGACGACGGTTGACAGTCGGTCGTATTACGCGTCTTCGATTTAACGTACTTCGACTTCATATACGTGCATGTGCACGGTACAGCCGTTGGGTCGAAGGGACAGTGCGCCAACACAATGATTAGGATGATCATCACTTTCAATCACTAACCTCAGATATGTTCTTAAGTCACTCGTCTGACGGGTCCTCCGGAGCTAAATGGGCACTCTTGTTTAGTCTGTCGCCGGAAAACGCCTGTCGTTTTCGTGCCATGCAAACCTGCCACCCAGGCGGATCGGGTAATATCCCGTGTCATTTAATCCGGTCAGCCTGTGGTCCAGCCGCCTTCGCAACGTGTGCTAGCGTGCATGGAGTTTTTCAAACGCTGGATGAACACGATTGCTGCTGAGGGGAGTTTCGGACCCGCCTCTTCCGTCGCCAGGCTCCCCTGCCGGCCGACCCGTGCAGGGGAGCCTGGCCTGCTGACCTGCTGTTTTTCGTCAGCTATCCCTTGCGGCTGACGCGGATGGAGACGAGGCTGACCTTCTGACCGCGGTGCGTGCGCAGCTGGCCAGCTGGCGTTGGTCCAGTCAGCTGACTGAGGCCCTGGCCAGAGTGCGGTACCTGTACCAGCCACACCACCAGCGGGAGGTCTAGCCTGCGGCGGACATCAGCTCCAGCGAGGACTATGGCCGCCGCTGGCCGGTCGCTGCTCCTGTGGTGACTTCCCAGACAGCTACAGCCAGGTGACCGCTGTTCCTCTGGTGATATTGGGACACATGGGTATCAAGATTAAGACCTGCAGTCACAAGCTTTTGTCCCTAATATGTGTTTCTCCACACATGCGACGTGTTTTCGTGCTCTGGTGGTTGGAATAGGTTGTGTTCTTTTGTAGCGTCGGAGTAAGGACTCCTGTTCTCGTACCGACCGTTTGGATGGTGAAACATTGGTGTAGCTGTTCTGTTTAATGCCTGCCCTGTGTTGTCTGGAGCAGTATCCCCTCCACACTGCAGCCGTGGTTGGGTTGCTGGCAGCTGGTGATGGACGCGGCGCAGCGCTGGAGCGGCCCGATGTGGACGGGGCACGCGCCCGCCAGTAGACGCCACTCGTGCGTTCTGTTCGCCAGAGGCGCTCTGGTGAGTAGCTTTTGGAACACGCAGACGCACAAGTGACCGTAAGCATTGGCAGGTGTCCGTTGCCCGTGCTAATTGGGTTGCATTGGCCCCCATGGTAATCCTGCATGCACTGTTTTGCTTATTAGCCAGCCAGCAAGTTTGAAAAGGGCCGATTTTTCAATCGTAATCTTCCTTTGAAAACAAACATTTTGGATTGGGTACGTAGCTGTTTTGTCGGTTTCTGTTACGGTCAATTCATTGTTCTTTATAACACCTGTTGAATGTATCAGTGCTTCAATGCCACGCGGATTACAATTGCATGATAGCAGCATCACAGCAACAGTGTTGTGTTAAATACTGATCACTAATATATGCGAAGCATACAATAATGATGTTATGTTGAGCACTGACTTCCCACACATGGATACGCACATGCTCACAGTCCTGTCACATTTCGATGAATCAGCCAATAGCAGTACGCCTGCTGGTCATCACTGGGTCGACGTAGCGTCGAACGCCACTGATTGGCGTCGATGCGGGTGCCGATTGGCTACTTTGTGTTCAGCGATCCGCGCAGGGTGTCATGCGGTGCCATCCTGTGTGACCTGCCACGCTGTCTATCCGTCGATATCCGGCCGACAGGCGGCACCTGGTGTGTGTGACTGAGTTGTGTGGGTGTGTGACAGGCGTTGTGTTGGTAGTAGGACACGTCAGTCACATGGCTGTTGTGGCTGGTGTGTGCGACCGAGTTGTTGTGTCGACAGTACACGCCAGTCACACGGCTGCCACGGCTGGTGTGTATGTGTTACACCGTTGTGTTGGCAGGAGGACACGTCAGTCACATAGCTGCGGCAGCTGGTGTGCGTGTGACAGCCGTTGTGTCGGCAGGACACGCCAGTCACACAGCTGCTGCGGCTGGTGTATGTAACAGAGCCTTTGTGTCGACAGGTGGACACGTCAGTCACATGGCTGCGGCGGCCGGTGTGTGCGACCAGGCCGTTGTGTCGGCAGGTACGAGTCTGTCACACGGCTGCAGTGGCCGGTCGCAGACTGCTGGCGCCTGCTCCGCGGAGGCCGTCCTGAGGTGCGGCCGGTTAGCAGTCACACATCACGTGGCCGTCAGGCGGTCGGTGGCGTTGTCCGCCGTTGCCCTGTGAGCTCGTTTGTGACCCGTGCGGGCGTCCACTGGCGGCCTGGGATGGCTCGCTGCGAGCCGGGCAGGGGGGCGACCGTCTGCTGACCGCGCACTGCCGGGGACACCGCCATGCTGACCGCGCACTGCTGGCGGCGGGGACACGCCGTCTGCTGACCGCGCACTGCCGGCGGCGGGGACACCGCCGTCTGCTGACCGCGCACTGCCGGCGGCGGGGACCCGTCGTCTGCTGACCACGCACTGCCGGCGGCGGGGACACCGCCGTCTGCTGACCGCGCATGCCGGCGGGGGGCACCGCCGTCTGCTGACCACGCACTGCCGGCGGCGGGGACACCGCCGTCTGCTGACCCGCACTGCCGGCGGACACCGCCGTCTGCTGACCGCGCACTGCCGGCGGGCACCGCCGTCTGCTGAGCGCACTGCCGGCGGCGGGGACACCGCCGTCTGCTGACCGCACACTGCCGGCGGCGGGGACACCGCCGTCTGCTGACCGCACACTGCCGGCGGCGGGGACACCGCCGTCTGCTGACCGCGCACTGCCGGCGGCGGGGACACCGCCGTCTGCTGACCGCGCACTGCCGGCGGCGGGGACACCGCCGTCTGCTGACGCGCACTGCCGGCGGGGGGACACCGCCGTCTGCTGACCGCACACTGCCGGCGGCGGGGACACGCCGTCTGCTGACCGCGCACTGCCGGCGGCGGGAACCGCCGTCTGCTGGACCGCGC